CTACTCCAGAGCAACCTCCGCAGCGAGTGCTTTATGGAGTGTGGCAAAGGCAGGTGCCACAGGACGTAAGCAGCAGCTTACAGTGTACTGTCTGGAGCAGGATGCTTAGTTATAATGTTGCATCTACTCATGTAATAAGCAGGGTCTTTTTTCACTTCTCTGGAAGAATGAGTTGCAGATATGAATCAAGCAGTCAGGGAAACAAGGACATCTCCCCTCTGCCCATAGCTGAAGCCCCTTATTTCTCATTCAGTTCACAGGTGCACTCATGCATCTGTCACTGAAATCAATGAGACTTGAACTTATAGATCCCAGTGTAAATCTATGGATTGGAATGGCTCTGAAAAGGCATTAAAATACCGTAAGGCCAAGGGCTGAAAGTCTGTCTGAAATCACATTCACATGTTTTTCTGTAACCGCACCAAGTAGCAAACATAGCCAGTGTCCTCAAGCCAGGAAAAATGAAAGTACCCAATAAAACTTTAAAGAAAAATAAAATGTCAAGGGAAAATATATTATGCTGACATTTACATGCATTTCTTCTAATCCAGATTTCACCTTTTGCACAGCTTGTCCTAAGTGAGACCAAGTCAAGCTGGCCTGAAATCCAAAAGGCACTAGTGAATGCATTTGATAAAGACCACCTCAGCTCCTCAAATACAGCCTGTTCACAGATGCTAGAAGCTGAACACCAGAAAGCTTTGCAGAGGGGATTGTGCTCAAAAATGATATCTGACAAATAAATTTGCACCATTCTTAAAAATATGCAAGCAAAAACTTATCGAGAGTCTCTCCACACTGCCGCCCCCACAAGCTTGGTGGTTTGCAGAAGCCACAGCTACCAGCTTCATTTGGTACCAGCTCCTGGGTGTTATTGTTTGGAGGGCAAGGACTCAGCAACACATCCTCTGACTGCCAGGCTAACTCCTGCATTGCCCCGGGACTGCCCTTACTGTCACCTTGGTACTAGAGGAGGTCAGCATCATGGGCACGAGTGATCTTAGCAGTGTGAAGCTTTTCTTGATGTGCAAATACCTGGCACAGGGAGTGAGACAGGCACACCAGGCCACTTCATTCCTCCCATGCTGCAAGGAGGTGGCTCTATCATTCCACCTAAGAACAACATCAAGAAGGATTTAGCTGCTGTTTCTTGCTCCTTAGCTATAGATAACTTTACAAAACGCCGTAATGTCAAGCTCTGCTTTCCTGATGGCATTTTCCAAGGGCTATTAGTACAGCGTTAGATCTGTCTGGGCCTCTCCAAGGAGGTGAACCTGCAACACAGCAGCTTCCTTTCCACTTGCTTGTTCCACGTGGCTGACCCAAGCCTCACAGTCAGATATGAGCAGCAGTCATAACAATGGGCTGCCCAAAGGGTTACACTCACTGCTTCAACCCACCGAGCACTGCTCTCTCCTCCTAGTGCACACACATGGCTCTGGAAGTCAAGCCCTTCCACAGCCAGCTCTCATCCCTGTCCTGCTTTCAGCTGTAAGAGGGCAGGAGAAAAATAACTGTTACAGCTGAAACCAGGACAATCCCCACGTCTTCTCTATTGGTTACAGGTTTCTTTGGTCCATCTATCTGCGCATGGACTACAATGTCTGCAGGACTTCAGAGCTACTGCCCACCTTTTTCAAGCCTCAGTGTCACCATCTCACAATGCAAAAGGAATAAGAATCATAATCTTTCCCCTTGGTGTTTGTCTCTAGGAAGAAGTACAGTCTTTTTCCCCAACACATTCACCCTGAATGGCAGCACCAGAGCTGAGCTGGTCCCAGGGGATGGCCAAAGAGCTCTGAGTTGGAGAAAGGCACAAGGCAAATAGTCAAAGGTACCCACCGCCCGTTGCACTGCAGTGACCCGCAGCAAGCATCAAACAGGCCCAAAGGTCCCAGAACATTTGTTAGAACCCTTTAGTTACTATTATCATTATCCATTTTCAAAAAAAACCCATTTCAGCAGGTCTTTTATATACTTTTTTGTTGTAGTTAAATAAATCTGATGAATAAATGGATCTGCTTAAGTCAATATGGGACCAATCTATGGAGTGTGTAACATCATATCTTAACTGATGTTATCTAGGTTGATTTCATGAAACTAAGCCTGCACAACCTACCATTCTGGTTCCTAAGAAGGAACAAAATGAAGGAGCATTCTGCTTTAATCTGTGTAAGCAGAATCATGCTGTCTGCAGCTGATGCTGGCCAGGACTTTAGAGAGAAGCAGAATACCCGTTCAGCCGAGAAAATCACGCTAGCTAAGAACTGTAGTATTTAGTAGCAGAGATAGATGATCTACCAGTCCCCTATAAATCCAGACAAGCCTTTGTAATTCTTTTCATACAGGAAAAATGTATATGCAAATAAATCATTCATCAATTAACAAGAAAACTCACAAGAATTTAGGTCATGAATATAAACTTCCCTGCTCTCAACACACTGAAATCTCTATTTGGTTCCTTTTAAATTTCAGCAAAACAAAGGGATTGATATCTGTTTTTCCCATCCTATCAATTTCACTAATTTCAGTCCAATAAGAACTACGAAAAGGTTGCATGTGTCTCATGGCTAATGCAGACATCATCCTGTGTCTGCATTAGCCATGAGACACATCAACTGCTTCATGTGCCGTGGCAAATGCAGTGTGACTTCTGCTGATTGCTCCTCTGATGCTACAGCAGCTCATGCTGAACCAAAGCAATTCGTAACAACCAGGTGTTCACTGAGGGCAATAACAAAACCCCTCCAAAACCCAAAGGAGGCTTTCCTTTCTGTACTGGTGGTGCTTTTCAAGCTTTAATGGGAGCAGACTTTTGGCAGGAAAACATGAGGAAATATGGTTTTACCTGAGCCCTTCTGTGCAATTTGTATGTCTCAAGAAGCAGAACAGCCAGTGTCTGTGTGGGAACGAGGCCCACAGGAATAAAATATGAATTATTCACAAACTGATGTTCTTGGGTTTGGTCTGGGATCACGTACTGCCTTCTCCTGGTAAAATAAAACTGGCTTCTCTCCATTCAAACAATGACCAAGTATTTAAATCCTTTGTCAAAAGCAAAGCATCAGCAAACCAAACAAAACTAACCAACCAAACCAAAAAGCAGACAAGGGGGAACTCCACTGTAAACCTTTTTCTTCAGTCAATGTCTCAGCAAAGCTCAAGCAGCCCTGAAAGGCTCTGTGCAACGCATTCACCTCTTCCTGCTGCAAGAACTCACGCTCTCCAAATGAGCTGTGTGCAACGGAGCTCTGCTGCTGTCACTTAACTAGCCCTGGCCATGTTGTGAGAACAAGTTTGAAAATGAAATTTTCATCAAATTAAGGGGTAATTACAACGGGGATGAGGGGATAGGCCAGCCTGGGTCTGAGCAAGAGTAGGCAAGGGAAAAGAGCTGACAATTCCTAGCAAAGCAGCTCTGATATCACTCTCAGGTGATCACTCTCAGCCTACCCTTACACCTAGAGATCAGGGCTATGCCTGCATGGCACAACTTGCAGACTGTGGCACAAATACAAGCGTTACAAAATGAGCTCTGAATCCTGAAGCCGAACAGTCACACATCCATGGAAGCTGTTGTTGCGGATGTTAACCACACAGAAAATCAGGGCTCCTGCTCTGAGACACTGTACCTGGCTGGCTCCTGCCTTCCCTGTCTTCCTAAACCCACTTTGGATACCTTCCTACCGGCTCCACAAAGCTCTAGTATTCTATAGCTTTAAGAGAGATGGTTTCACTGTAAGGGGGTGTCTTCCCATCATACACACCAGTTTCCTCGGACACTGAGGCCTGAGAGGTAGCAACCAGTCTGCTTCTGGTGCATCACAAATGTCATCCAACAGCTGACCCAATACAAAAGAGAATTCTTTATGTTTCCTGGTTGTCTGGGCCTTCTCAGTAAGCATTTTGCAGTGCTCATTGTGTGTCTTTCATCAACTTAGCATCTGAGGATGAAAGTTTCTTGCTACTCTGGCTTTTGTATTGACAAGAATTTTCATTAAATCAGCTTCAGTAAACAAAAAAAACCCTTGCTTCTCCCTGCCACAACAAGCAAGAGAAAACAAGGTCCAATAAACCCCAAGCCACCACCACAAAGTCCCATATCTGAAATGTTATGGAAAGGGATTTGATGAACTCGCCTTTTTGCTGACCTCCCTTAGCTGAACGCTCTTGGGGCGCACATTTACAAATCAGGCTTTGGTCTCTGAACCAACAGAAATGTTGTGACTTCTCCCTGCCCCTGCCCTGCCCATGATTTGCAAAGGTGGTAACTCCCAATCAGTGCAACTCCTCAGTTCTTCCCAAGGTGATGGTTGCACATATGTGAATGTCAGTGTTCCATCTGCAGCCCAAGCCTGCTTTTAGGTTTTTTGGAGGAAGCTATAAGTATGGGGCACTGCAGAGATTTTGAACACCACTCTTTAATCAAGTGAAATATTAAAGCCGAAACTAATTCAGTGTCAGGCAGTAAACATCGGGGGACACTGCCTTATCTAATTTGCTGTCATCTGCAGTAACCTCTGCTATTAATATTACCATGAAGAACTTGGTAATTTTACCATGTGAGGAATTTAAGTAAACTTAGGCACTTAAAAGTTCCATTCACCGCTTCAGCACGGTCACTCAGGAACGTGTGCCAGCAGGAGTGATTGCTCCTCTTCCCTCCTCAGCCTCTGGTCTGAATATTGAAACCCCAACTACAGCACAGCAACCAATATGAAAATAACAACTCAAATGGCTGTGAAAGGTGTGTGGGCATCAGAGATTGGTGATAGGTATTCAGCAGAGCTCGAGCAACACGTGGTGGTCTATGTCCTTTCAGAAACAGCAACCCATCGCCAAATGTGGGATATGGACCTTCTATGGCTCCTGCTCAAAGTACGGACCCAAAGGACAGACAGACCAACTATTGACCTTCGTCTGATGAACAATTTACCTTTTTGGTTTGTATTAACAAAAGCAGTTAGAAGATGAACAGACCAAGGGGTTGTTAAACTCACACAATGTAGTGAATAGCTGCTTCCCTGGGGACATGCTCTCTGCTAGAGTCAGTCACTTGGTGTCACAAGGGTCACACAACTGGGGAAGAACAAGGAAGAGGCCAGGGATAATACAGTGGCACAGGAACAGCTAGTTCAAAGGAGGTCTCTCTGGCTACAGCCTCACAAGACAAAGCCCAGGTCTGACCCCGGCATGGCTGGCAGGGTCTCCCTTCACACAAGTGCAGTAAAACCACCTCACAGGGCACTGCAGGTATGGCTGCACAGCAGGTGAAGGTGCACGTTGTGTCAGGGGCCCATCCCTCCCGTGGCTTTAGTATGGCAGCACTGATGAGGATAACAGCAACAGTAAGGACCCAGGCAACAGCATGTGCTTGCCAGAGCCTTCCAGGGGTTCCCCCAGAGCACACCCCCCTCTAATTCTCTGCTATACCTGGAGTCATGCTAACAAGCTTGTGCCTGCACACAGAATAACCTCTATTTGCCCTGCAGACATCCTGGTGGTGTTTCAAATCAGACATTTATGCCTTTGCCCCACACCTAAGTATTAAACTGTTCTGTATGTTCTGACATCTCCCTACAGTTAAACCTTCCTCCCTACAAAGTATGCTTTTCATTTGATCTATTTTAATCTTTCTATTCCTTATTGAATTCCCTGACCTAATAAGTTAGCAGTACCTTAGAAAGCAGAACAGCAAATGGCAGCTAAATAATATTGCTATTTTACCAAGGAGAACTGAAACACAGAGGAAATACTTGAAGACAACAAGAAGAATGTCTAAGGCTGTCTCTGCACAGAGTCACATATCGCACATCAAACATCTTGGACAGCATGCCCCTTGCTGGGGGGCAGGAGGACATTCTCCTGGATCAGCTGCAACTAGCAGCATCCCCTACCAGCTTGAGCACTAGTACTGACAGATAGTACGTGATGGTCCTCAGTACTAACATAGCTGGTGTGGAGTTCGAATGAAGGATAGGATAGTTCAGTATTATTCAGCTGCTCTTGGATATAAGCCAATACAAATAACTCATTGCTTATCTCATGCCAAAACCACTGTGCACTAACCCTATCCTTATCTCAGTGATTACACAAGGCAAGAAAACCCCAGCAGAAACTCAGCTACAATTACTTGACATCTAAAGGCCCTTGCAAGTTGTACTTGATGCTCACTGTCCCCTTAATACCTTTTGTGATTATTAGCTACAGTCCTTGATTTGTTGCTGCTACTCAGACTAATAAATAGCACAAAGTATTTTATCCCTTCAGCCAGAGCTGGAAACCGCTCAGACGTAGTTTTAAGAGATCAGAGGTACCTTGCAGAGTGCAAAGCACCGAGCTGCTGAAAGAAGAGTTGCTGGGAGGGAGGGCGAGCCCCAGCAGTGCCAGGCAGCCGTTAACCCTGCTGATGCCCACAACACAGCTCAGCTTCCACTGCCAACTCCAAAGTTTGTGTTTTATTGACAAGCTTGGGCCCTGCTAAAACCAATACAGAGTCTAACCACAAGTCCAGGAAGACCTCAGTTTTAGGCGAATCAAATGCCAAACTCTCTTACATGGCATGCAACAAGATGGTCACCAAGTTCTCAAACCTGGCTGGACATCACTGCCTACATGTAACAAAGCACAAAGCCCACCACAGATTAAGAGACATGTAGAAAGAGATGTTTAAGAACCATCTGCTGTGCTTCAACACATTTTTAAATCCAATATTTTTGGATTTTTTTTATTATCTTTGTTAAACAATTTGGATTCATGACAAATTTTGAAATACAGAGATGTTGTCTGCAGAGATGCCATCAGTGAAGCTCATGCAATTCCTGGTATTGGGCCTGGCTGTGGGTAACTGTAAAAGTTAAAGGACAGGCTCTAAAGACTTAAATATGAACAAATTATTTATGAATCAGCTTGCCATCTTAAGCCTCAGGAAGTCCTTTATTAGTGCAGGTGAGCCCAGCCACCCTGCACAGCTGCCCGGGAACAGATAACTGAGATTAACTGAGATCTGTATTCAAAAGAGTTTGACAGACTTTCGTAACACTGTACAGTGAATGGTTTCTGTGCATCCTAGCAGGCACACCTGGTACTCCCTTCTTGCTTTCTCAATAATTGCTACATGCATTAATTGGATTCAATCCTTTCTGTGATATGCAATGCACTTATCTTGCTGTGGGTATTTGTGACTCAGGCTGCCATTCTGTAGCACATTCTGTAAAGCTGTCATCAATACAGGATTTAGGTAGAGGGTGAGATGCTGGCAGGGGGGCTGTGACTTGAGCAAGCCCAGGGAAGGGCAGCATTGGACCCTCTCAGTGTTTTACATTCTCTTCTGCAGAAAATATCAAACAGGATTTCACTGGAGGAAGGACAATCATTTTTCAGGTACCACATGAAAGAAATACCAATCTGTTCTGCACTAGATTATGTGGGACAATATGCAATACATTGCTAGCAAGTTATGACATTGATTCATTCCTTGTATGGAATTTGTTCACAGTAATGAATGAATTACTTGTCCCTCAAAGGCCCCAGGCTTTTCTCTCACCTTTATTGATTAATGGTTTATAACTTTGAAACTACCTGCAAAAAGTGATTAATGTGACTTACTTTCTAGTCTTAAAAACAGTGTAAGCAATTAGGGTTCCTACAGTAAGCCCCTGCCTAGCAGGGAATGAAACTGCTGGAACTGGGTAGCATTACCTGAGCCATTAGCCTATATTTCAGCACAGAAAACAGTAAAAGGGTGCATTGACACTAAACTGAAGCACATTCATCTCTCCAAAATCACTCTGTAAAACATGGAGGATGGACTAGGAAGAATTAATGGCTACTACAAAATCTTTCAATAATCTTTAGAAGTGGTGCATGGAAATAACTGGGAAAGTGGGATTCTTCATCAAAAGCAATGGCATAATTCTTGGCTTCTGCAAGACAAGCAAAGAATTAATAAAAACTTGTTGGGGTGGGAGGACAAAGAAAGGTGAGCTGAGCAAGACTTAAAGAGGTGCACAATGTAGCTGCAAAGGTAAAGATGAGGTTGAAGGAGGCACCTTGAAGTAGGTGAACAGCACTCTTGAATAAAACAGTGTAGTTCATTGGGTTGCAGTCTGTAACAGAGATCTGTGTAACCCATTCCTTCACCTAAGCTCTGCACCATAAAGAAGTGGCAACAAATGTCCAACCAACTCATAGGGACCTGCACGGCAAAGCCGGCAGCTACTGGAAGCACCTGGATGAAGGCAGAGGAAGGGAGGGCGGACAGAAAACCAGCCCTGAGATAAACGTGCTCATTCCTGGAGCTCTTTAAAAGCCTGAAAATGGAAACGAAGTTGCTAAGAGGTGCTAAAATGGTTCTCCCTAAAGCTGCTTCATTTGCCCTCATTTACAGAAGGGCAACAACCTACAGACATTTCACATATTCAGCAGGCACAGTGACATTGCTGTACACTCTGCTGTAGGTTAGGAAATAACAGCTTGCATCTAGGTAACATTTTCAAATATGATTAACTTCAAGGACTATATGCTGCAACTGAAGAGTGATCATTTCTTACGCACTCCTGAACAGGGCTGGTTTTCCATTTTTCATCAATGGAGAAGGCAGAAAAATTTGTTTTGCTGCCCAGGATTCCAAAATGACTTTAGAAAAAAAGCAATACATTTGTAGAGCAATAGCAATTAGCTGCATAGTCATTTCCACTCCTAATTGCAGGTAATTAGGATGACAGTGGTCTCTGAACAACAGTGCTCGTGATTAAGAGGAAGGAGTGAGAGCAGCACAATGAAAGCAGTGCACACTCCCCTCTACTAGTAAGTTTCTCTCATGTGAGTTCTAACCCCCATGTCAGCTTTCAAACTCCATTACTCCACCTCAAGTGAGGACTGAAAGCATTCGATATGGACACCAAACTTTAAAGCTGCCCCAAAGCCTGGTTGGTCTGTGTTCCCCTAGGGGACCCAAAGCCCTGGGCACTTGGGGAGCTGATTCCAGCCTGGAGCTGGAGGACTTCTGCCAGGGTTTCAGTCATGGGCTGTTCCTCTCCGTCTTGCAGATGCTTGTTAATGCAAATGCTTTCTAATAACATCCTAGATGTGGTTAGGGACGGGTTGCCAACCGTTTACACTGTGCTTAGGGAGTGGATATCAAGTTGGTGCCCTGGAAGCCCTGAACCTGTGCTGCACGGAGCTTGTAATGCTACTGAGACAACCCCCAAGGGAAGAGTGGCAGTCTCGATGAAATTCTCCAGAAAACCCTGTGGAAGTCGGGGAAGCCCAGCTGCACACTGTGAGTGTGTTGAAGAGCTGGTACTTTATCCGCCCTCTCTGCACACACACATTGTCAGAGCAGGGCTGCAGAGCTGAGCGCCTCCCAAGACTGAGCACAGAAAACAAAGGGTTTAAGCGGAAAGAAGATATGGAAAGATGATCTCTTTATGGACAATACTGAACTGGAGAGGACGTTCTGATAGAGGTTGCAGTTACACTGGAAACGTTTCACCAAGACACTGTGTTAACTCCACTCTCAAGTAAATCTGTTGATTCAACAGCAGCAGACAAGCAGCAGCACAGTGCCAGACACACGGGGTGTCCCATAGCGCAGAGCCTTTCCTTCTCACTGACAGCAGCAAAAAGTTGGTGTAAGCAGGTGCTCTCCGTAAGTTCAGTTTGACAATGTGTCTGACTGTCCCAGGGGCTGCACTCCCCATAGGTTTCCCTGTGCTCTCAGTTACAGAACCACAAAGCATTCCAAAGAGTAGGAGAAGAGGACAGGATCACTTGGCAAGAAGCACTCAGGCACGCCAGGAGCCTTCCAGGGTTTCCTCCTGCAAAGCTTGCCCAGCTGGGCCAGACAGATGTAGCACTGCTTTGTAGACCCTCTGGAGAAGATAACCCAGCTGCGGCTGGTGTATGCCAGAAGCACAAGAACTGGGCTTGGATTTTGTCCAGGCAAAGCCCTCAGGAAACATGGGATGGGGTGAACACTCCGTAAAATGCTTCCATGGGTACCAGGAGCTCTCTGCCCTTTCTCGTCTCAGAAATCAGATCACTTCAGTGCTGCTTCTTGTCCTCTAAAGTTATGC